TGGTAGGAAGTCAGATACAGAAAAGAAGCTGTGTAAGTATGTGTATGTGTGCCTCTGTGTGAGTGTGTGTGTGTGTGTGTGTGTGTCTGTGTGTGTGTGTGTGTGTGTGTGTGTGTGAGAGAGAGAGAGAGAGAGAGATGACTGTGAAAAAAATAAATATACTTATCTGAAGCAATTAATACCCGCTGTTTCCAAAATTGGACGGTGAGCATTAATGGCTTTTTGATCGATTCCTTTTTACGGCTTATCAACCCTTTGCAGGTTATTTAAAAACAGAAAATATTTTTAGCTTGTAGGAACTTTTTTCTTGGAAGTAAGTACGTTTTTATGGATAGAAGTCTTACTAATTAACCCATAGCTAGCGGGGAAAAGAGGTGGATTCATACTTTTCCCAACGATATTTGCCCGGAAGTGAATATATCGAACCAGACTGGAATTGGAAACAGATTGAATTGAACGCTGTTACCGGTGTTTCCGAATAAATGATTATATTTGCTCTACTCTGTATTGAGCACTCTTTTAAGAATAGTATTTGTTGGGTTTTGTAATTTATTCCGTATACACCAATCTTATACTTGGTATATATATATATATATATATATATATATATATATATATATATATATATATATATATATATATATTTATTTCACGCTTTGCTATCAACAGATAAACTCATTGTTTGATGATCGCAAACTCATATCTATACTATCACTGATATTGGGTACTTTCCAATAAGTCCTGCGCATATAAAATATTTTATATATATATATATATATATATATATATATATATATATATATATATATATATATATATTGTTCTGAAAGGAAGAAAAATATGAATGAAAATTATAAATAATGCTGTTAAATCTATATTGGGATAAACTATGAAACATGAAAAAAATATGGCGAGAAAAGTTCACATTAACTTTCCAAACACTGTAATAAAGAAAGCGTTAAGAAAGAATACGAATGAAAGAAAACTCTGGAAAAAAAAATCATAAGAAAATGCGAATAATTTTAATAAAAGTGTTAGGCGAAAAAAGTTAATGAATGTGAAAAGAAGGAGAAAGGCAAGGAACGAACGATCGAATGAATGTTTGAAAGAAAGACTGACAGCTATAAAGTAGGATGAAGAGTTGACCACATCAAATTAGAGCTGGCAGTCATCGGTGTGCATCAACATTTGGTCCCATTAATCATCCGACACATCAGACGTCGGCCTATCTTGGTGAGCTTCAGTCAGGCAGATATTCAGTTCAGTTCGAAGGTCCTGTGGTGCAGGGAGCGGGAAATAAAGAAAAAAAAAAACAAAAAAAAACTTTTTATTAATGGCGTCGTCTTTGCGAGAGGCAACTATTGGATGTCGGTGTGGTCCTCCAAAACCGGTCACGCAAAGGTAGCCACCAAAAACAACGCGTTAATTTATTTCTATGGTGGACATTTCACAAGAATGACATGACAAGACCACGCCTTTTGTTGTAGTTTTGTTTCGCCTTCTTTTTTTTTTTTTTTTTTTTTTCATATTCCGGGTTTTTATTTTTAATAGAAAGATTTTTTTTAAAGTTCTTTCTTTCTTTCTTTCTGTTTCTTTGTCTGTGAAAGATGAAGAGTTTAATTCTCCCGATTTGCATTTTTACGGACATTGGGTTTGACCTATTCACTGGAGCCTTCGAATTAGAAAAAAAAATATTTAAATCCGTTTCTTTACGAGAATCATTATTTTCTTTGTCTTCTTTATTTTTATATATGTAGTGAGTACTAAACAGAACGGAATGGTCTCTGGAATTAAATATGCTGACATTTAAAAATTAATCGCCAAAAAAAAAAAAACAAACAAAAAAAACAAAACAAAAAAAAAATGGACGTAAAACAAAACCCTATTTTTATCAAAGTTGGCTGCGTGTGATCTAACGGTTAATAGAGAATAAGATCTTAATTGATTATTTCTTTACATCACAGATCGTCAGTTTGTTACAGAATAGAACACATCCGTCATTAAATCACGCACAAAGTCAACTCAGCCCTAAATGATTTTATCTCAGTTTTCAGTGTATTGTGTTTTTATGATCAGCAGTAAAATCTTCGAAGTAGGAACTTTCTCCCTTGACCAAAAGAGGATAAAATAATATATAAATAAAAACCTTCGGGAACAAGTGGTACTTGACTGGAAGTTAGAAAGTTTGGTTTAGTTTGTTTTTTTTTTTTTGTTTTACGGCATATCAAGCTCAATGGATTATTTAATGCTGACAAGATTTTATTGCTGGTAATATTTTTATCTATCTATCTATCTATCTATCACAGTATATATTGGTTTGGTTTGTTTTATTTTACGTCATATCAACCTCAATGGGTTATTTAATGCCGACAAGATTTTTATCGCTGGTAATGTTTTTCTTCAAAAAGTATTCCTGGTAATAATTTTTTAATAGACAGCTATTGTATCAACATATTTTCGAAAGTAACTAATATGTTGATACAATAGCTGTCAGTGAAAATGTATACCCTACAGCCCCTTATTAAAATGATTGTTTTTTTTCCATGTCCATAGAAATTAATATTACGAATGTATATGCTTATAAAGCTCCGTAAATTTCAAAATTAGTTATTCCAAAATTCACTTGAGGATGAAACAGAACTAGGTATTTTAATTTAATTTCTATAATTGAATTGGAAGTTTTTAGCTTCTGTTTTTGAAACATGAGAACTCTTATGTAGCGATGGAATCATATTTTTAAAAAAAATAATTATAATATAGGCTCTACTTGTGTATCGAGCACTGCTTTTTAAAAATAAAAAAAAAATACTAAAGAACTTCGGATTATTAACGTAACGGTTCTTTCCTATTTTTCTATATATTTGCACACACACACACAAACCCAAACACACACACACACACACACACACACACATATATATATATTAACGTTTTTATTTTAGTGTCAGCAGGAACGTCGAAATAATAACATAATGGACTATTCCATACGTAATAAATACTGCGCCTCAAGAGAAAGCAGAGAGTTCAGTCTGAAGTCAGACGACCGGCTGACCGGCTGATTGGTTGAACTCTCTGCCTTCGGGCGGCGAGGAACCCGAACGAGGCTACGCCGAAGGCCAGTGTCTCTTTCGGGGAGGTAAACCGTTTATAAGGGTTCAAAGGGCATATTTTTGGCCGAGCCCACGGGCTCGGAGATCCCACGGTAAACCGGCCTTGTGCCACATGATGCCCTCGTGGGGGGTGACTAAATACTGTTCAGTCTGAAGTCTGTAGTGAAGTCCGTCAGGAGTCTGTCAGTCAGCGAGCGAGACAGTCAGTCGAGTCAGAGGTAGGCATTACTACTAAACCTGATTGTTCGTACTAACACTTTTCTACCTCTCTGTATATATTCCTGTTTGTAATATATCTGTGTTATTCCATATCCGTATTCGAGTTCTTCTTTATTGGTCCTACCTTGAACTATCACCGTGGTACAAGGAACCGGACCATAACAATAAGTAACTAAATAAAAAAGAAATTATCTCATTTTCCAGCTTCGAAGCTGCTATTTCTATTTTATTCCAAAAGAAGTCGGGAAAAGCGAGTTTGCAGGCCAAATGTTGCAATTTTATTTAATTTTATACTTGTACCTTTCTTTTTATTCTCTATGTTTCATGTCAAAATTAAGACGAGTTCTTCAGATCGGTATCTTGCTGACACGTCTGCATTGGGTAAAGAACAGAAACTATTTTCGTTAGTGTTATGGTCCAAGGTTAGGACCATGGAAGAACAACACGGAATACAACAGTAGAAATAACACAGAATATATTACACGAAAGATAATACAAGAAGTGGGAGGTGTTAGTATGACTGTCAGACTGGTTTGGAGTGAACTACTATCAGCTTGACTCGATTCCATACCGTCTCAATACCGTTCGTCTCTCTCAAGAGGCGTAGTATATATAGCGTTAGGAAGAGTTCATTCTGTCGATCTAGGTAAGCACCATGACAATTAGCTTGCTATGTTTCCCTTTCCTTGTAAAACAACATTTAAATTCTGAAGCGTACTTGTTGATAGCTGGGAAGTGAACCAGTGAAAATATTAAAGGCAACAAAATGAAGATGATTTTTAAAAAAGCTTGTCTATAATTAAGCCACCGATTTGATATTTTTTTAAATAGTTAAGAGAAAGAACAAAGAAAACATGTTGCTCTGTCTTTCAACGGCAATAAGTTAACATTGGACGGGTTTATACATAATTCTATAGGTCAAGTTTATACTTGCGCCTAAAGATCAAGTTTATACTTGCGCCTAAAGGTCAAGTTTATACTTGTGCCTATAGGTCAAGTTTATACTTGCGCCTATAGGTCGGATTTATACTTGTGTCTGTAGGTAAACATTGGTTGGGTTTATACGCGGGTCTATAGATAAACATTGGTCGGATTTATACATGAAACCGTAAAGATTCATTCGGAATCTGGTTCCATTTGGTCAGTCATATAGTTGGCTTATTCGAAGTACCACTAACAGTAAGTATGAATCGACTGGTTGTAGTGGGTTTATATTTTAAAAGTTGATGTGTCAATAGGTAAATATTGGTTGGGTTTAAAATTGAGCCAATAGTAAATATTGGTAGAATTCATATTTGATTATTTAGTTAAACGTTGCTAGGTTTATTCTTGAACTTAGAAGTAAACATTGGTCGGGTTTATACATGATTCTATAGGTAATCATTGGTCGAGTTTATTCTTGCGCCTATAGGTCGAATTTATACTTGTGTCTATAGGTAAATATTAGTCGGGTCTGTACATGATTCTATAGAAAAACATTGGTCGAGTTTATACTTGTGCCTATGGATAAACACTGGTCAGTTTTTTTACGTGAGTCTATAGGTAAACATTGGTCGGGTTTATACTTGAAACTACAAAGATCCATTCGGAATCTGGTTCTGTTTGGTCAGACATATAGTTGGCTTATTCTAAGTACCACTAACAGTAAGTATGAATCGACTGGGTGTAGTG